ATTACATATTGTAAAAAGGGGCATAATATGTCTCCTTTAAAATATCACCACTGTATACTTCAGCATATAACCTGCTTTCTGGATGCTCTGGTGTTATTTGCTGATCAGTGTCAGTGTTTATACTGCGGTAGATTCACATAGGTGTAAATGGACGGAACTGATTACATTAGTTTGCACTGTTGTTGTGTTGTATTTTCAGCTTGTAACCTAACTTTTTATATTTCCCATCCTCAGATTCAGCGTTCATGATGGTGAACACATCAGGCCGGGTCTCTGGTCAGCGAGCGCAGCTCTACATGGCGCAGTTCAAAGAGAACGACACCCACTGCGTCATATTCGAGTATTACAGCGCCAGTCGAGAGGGTTCGAGCCCTGGCCAGCTCCTCATCTACGTCATGGAGAACAACAGTCCTCTGGGCATCGCCGTGTGGAACTCGTCCGGTCCGGCTCTGAAGAAATGGCAGCAGGTTGAGCTGGCCATCAGCACCTTCTGGCCCAATTTCTACCAGGTGAGAACGTCTTCATTCATTTAGTCATTTACATTTGTGACCCTGGACCGCAAAACTTGTGTAATAATGCTGTAAAATGAGGATGCTGTCAAAAATAATGTCATAAATAGATTTTCTTTATCAATTAACTTCTATTAGCTGAATTAAATCAACATTTGGTGTGAGCATCCTTTGCGTTTAAAGCAGCTTGTGCCCTCGGTGCACTTGAGCAGAGTTTCTCAGGAGCTTTGCAGTAGGTTTCTTGAAGCGTCTTGGAGACGTTGCCACAGTTCTTCTGGATTGAGTCTGTCTCAGTTTGTTCTGTTTCTTCATGTGACTCCAGACAGACTGATGATGATCAGATCTCTGTGTGGAGCAAACAAATCTCACTGCATTATTACAATTAATAGCTAAATGAATGTTTGGAAATGTAAACTGATATTTCCTGAAAACTGATATTTGACCCAACTGGTTTTGTGGTCCAGGGACACGTATAATAAATAAAAAGAAAACAAGTAGATAGGATAGAAAAAAAGAATAGCTAGTGTTAGAGGGTCTTTTAAATGAAAACAAAACAAGTTAAAAGAATAGAGAATTGAACATCGTTCGTTTCTTCTGTCATCCAGCGCTGCAGTGCGTCTCATTAATTAATTATGTTTCCTGTTGCTCTTGACACAAACCTACAAAGTGGCTCGTGTTTGACGACTCGACACCTGCCAGACTGCAGCAGCTTCTTGCTGGTCCACACGCCGCCGCCGCCTTAATTAAAAGAGGAAGTTTCCACCATTTTTCGATGAAACGCTCCCCCATCAGCTTCACAAATGAGTTTGGTTTGTACCGACCTGCAGGAAGTTCCTCAAACCCTCGGCGTACGACATTCAGCAGCTGATGTATTTGATGTGTCATGATGAGAGGCGTTTCTGGATAAAAGCTCTTATATGGACGCCATCGGGGATGAACATATGGACACAAAAAGAGTCATGTTAGGAAATGAATTGGGCAGAACAGACAGTCTGAATGAGTGAAACACCACCACAGAGCAGCACATGCTGTGTTTCACACTCAGACTGACATTATTGGACCTTAAAATACATAGAAAATTACATTTATAATAATGAATACCTTTAAATGAATAAATCAATAAAAAATATGAATTCATAAATATTAATAGTAATAATAATAGTGCATTTTTCTGTTAATTTATATAAAATATTTAAAACATAATTTATGTTTATATAATTTAATTAATCAAGTCAAGTCACCTTTATTTATATAGTGCTTTGTACAATACTGATTGTGTCAAAGCAGCTTTACAGTGTCAACAGGAAAATAGTTTGTCAATAATGCAAGAGGACAATAACAAAGAGTCATTTTCCAGCTAAATTCAGTTCATTGATGATTCAGTGATCCAGTTCAGCTCTCTCCAATAGTGTCTGTGCAATCAGTCAAGCGTCCCCAACTAAGCAAGCAAAGGCGACAGTGGCAAGGAACCAAAACTCCATCGGTGACAGAAATGGAGAAAAAACCTTGGGAGAAACCAGGCTCAGTCGGGGGCCAGTTCTCCTCTGGCCAGACGAAACCAGCATGGTGTGGTTTAATTCCAGGCTGCAACACAGGTCAGATTGTGCAGAGGACTCGTCTGGTTCCTGTGGTCTTGTGCCGATGGTCATCGAGGTGACGAGCGAATTTATATATTATATTTTTATTTCATTGGATCAGTGAAGTATGCAATCAAAAATAGCAATTTTAATTTACATAACTTAATCATTTATTTCACATGAATATTTGGAATGGACGGGTCAGTAGGAGTGTTTGTGCTTTGAAATAGTGCAGAAACTACACACTTCATGAATGATTCAACGACTCACACATATAGATAGACAATAACTTGGTTTGCTCCTGAATGAATCACTGTTTTGTTCTAATCAGTTCAGTGAATGATTCAATGACTCGTTCATAGACGGTAACCTTTTTTTATTGCGTTAACATTTACAACCAAACAAGGTCATTCATAGACAGTAACTTGGTTTGTTCCTTAATGAATCAATGTTTTGTTGTAATCTGTTCAGTGAATGATTCAGTGACTCAATCATAAAGAAAGCCACTTGTTTTGTTCATGAATGAATTGATGCTTTTAAATGAATCAATTCATTAAATGATTCAATTACTCATTCATAAAGACAGTCACCCATCGCCACCTACACCTACTATACATTTATTTATTTATTTGTTTATGTATGTATGTAGTTTCTGCATCACTGTTTAATTTCAAAGCAAATAGCAATTATTTTCCAAACCGGTTTCCCAAACACTTCTTCTGGTCTGTGCTTCTTCAATACTCATGACAATTCAAATTGAGACTGAGATTTTTGATTGCACACTTCACTCTCTTGTCAAATCCCAGCACAGCATCATTGAGATCTCTTCTGAAACTCAAGAGCAGACTCATGCGAGACTCCTGAGGTCTTTTTCTCAGGAGAAACGGCTGAGAAGCAGTAGAGACTCTGTGTTGAGTCTGATGTGTGATTTGTCCTCCGTTGGGAGCACACTTCATTTTGAGTTAGTATTTTATCATGAGCATCAGCGTCCTCACGCTAACAAATAACCCTGATGCTCAGACACGCTCATCAGACGCGCGGCTCTCCCGCGAGAGACTGCTGGACGACTGACAACAAAAGCATCCAGAAGTCCTCAGAGAAATAAGCAGCATCTGCCGAGAGACACGAATCGCGTCTCCATCCTGCCGCGGCGCGCGTAATTGCTGAGAAATGCGATTGTGACTTTTTAATACAAGCAGAGATTAACAATGCAATCTCCAATTCTTCAGTGCTGTGGCTAATTAGTGATTCTTGGCTAATTGCAGGTTTGTGTAATTGCACTGTATCTTAAGAGTTTGTTAAGTTGAAACCACCTGCTACAGGGAAAATCCTCCGCTCTCTTATTTTGTAATTACTTCCTCCGTTGGGAGCACACTTCATTTTGAGTTAGTATTTTATCATGAGCATCAGCGTCCTCACGCTAACAAATAACCCTGATGCTCAGACACGCTCATCAGACGCGCGGCTCTCCCGCGAGAGACTGCTGGACGACTGACAACAAAAGCATCCAGAAGTCCTCAGAGAAATAAGCAGCATCTGCCGAGAGACACGAATCGCGTCTCCATCCTGCCGCGGCGCGCGTAATTGCTGAGAAATGCGATTGTGACTTTTTAATACAAGCAGAGATTAACAATGCAATCTCCAATTCTTCAGTGCTGTGGCTAATTAGTGATTCTTGGCTAATTGCAGGTTTGTGTAATTGCACTGTATCTTAAGAGTTTAAGTTGAAACCACCTGCTACAGGGAAAATCCTCCGCTCTTATTTTGTAATTACAGGGTTTGTGTTTTTATCTCCTGTTGCGCTTTTCTTCTAGTGCACAACGACTAATTGTGTTGCGCTCGCTTGTGTTTTAATTGACGGTATAGTTTGAGTATGCGAATTGTGTTAGTCCCGTAATGCCGGGACATTTCATGCTGGATATTTTTAATGCACAGGTGAGATGGAGGATGAACGCGTGACCTCTGACCTCTGCTTTGTTCCTGCGGAGCTGAGAAACTGTGCGCTTAATGCTGATGCGGCTTGAGTCTTTTGAAATTAAACACCAGAACAAAAGAGATCAGACTCAAACGCTGAAGATAAACGCTATTCGGTTTCTAAATGACGTTGGAGTTGCAATTATTAACATCGTCTGTCATTTGATGCGCTGATGGGCGTTACAGGAGGTCATGTGTGCCCAAAACCCAATGAAACAAACTAAACTTTTACATGAGATTAATTATGTAATTAGAGAAGAACTGAGATCAGATTATTCTTGTTTGTTTTATTCAGAAAGTTGGCAGAAAGTGTTCTTTTCAGCTACAGTATTCAACAGATCAAAATAAATGAGAAGCGTGTTTAAAATATAGTATCTTCAATTACAGATATTCAAATACACTGAAATAACTTCACTCAATACATTCACTGTTTTTTTTTATTGAATTGTTGCTCATGACAGATACAAAGTCATGTGGTATCGTATTGTGTTTTTAAGATTTACCACGGTTATACACTAATATCATGGTACATTAATATGGTAATATGTAATATTTCAGTGTCAACAAAGTACCGTGGTATTATCATCTGATATATATTTTTTTTAATTGTCCAGTGGACAAAATAGGAAAAATTCATACATCAAATGCGGGCGTCGGTAATGACACAGCAGAATCATTGTGTTTTTTCTATAGATGTGCAGTGTTTTTCATCAGAATCATAATCAGATTTGCACACCCTCATGTGTTTTGCATTCAGTAAGCGCAGACCGTGTTGTATTTTTGCGACTGGACCATAATGATATCAGGACTTTTGGCCTTGTTAGGCACTGGACCGTCTCTGGAGCTGCTGCTGCGTCTTCAGCTCTGGCATAGACACAAGATCCTCCATGCACAATATGAGGAGGAGGAGAACATGAGAGGAGCAGCGCAGTGCCGCAGGGCTGCCTGATGTCAGCGTTCATGCAATCTGAGCGCGTGGCTTTAACCTGCTGTTTCCTGTGCGATCAGAGAAACACTCACAGGTGCTCCGAACAACACATGACAAAACATGCAAACTCTGTGAGAAACACTGGACAACATAGATCTGCACCAACAATATCCGGATTATTCTTTTGACTTTAAATATAAACTGTAAGCACCCTATGTCTGAATCTTTGTTTTGTGTCTTTTAGTTTGTGTTTGTGACATCTGATCAGAAAATACATTTCTAGCACATTAAAGATGTGCAGTCTCCAACATATTGATGATACACAGGTTTCTGTCCAATCAGATGCTTCTGTCCGAAAAGCTGTGATATAAACTAAAATATCTTTATCTTTGTTTATATTTTCTTCCTGTCTTTAACATCAACCTGCCAAAAGGGACTACGGATGAAAAATAGCCAATGTTGGCTAAATCTGGCGCATTTTACATATTTATGTACTATTAATGTGCATTGTCCCTGATTAAATAAATAAATGGAAATGGAAAATAAAAGTCACAACTTTTTGATATGCTGTGTTTATTTGGAGACACTATAGGTGAATACTACATGTTTTCAGGAATAAAGTGTTATATAAATCATTGTGAATGATATATGAACAAACCCCTCTGTAAAAGTCTTTTTAGAGAGGAATAAAACTGTAAAGTTTGGTGTATATAAGTGCTGCTGAAGTGGAGAAAAAATAAACATCACATTTTCATTTTTGGGTGAACTATCCCTTTAAGATAAAAACTCTCAGCCTTTTAAGCATATGCATTTTCACCGTATTTTTAGGGGTAAAATGTTGTATAAATCAGCGTGAATGATGTATGAACAAACCCCTCAGTAAAAACCTCCAGAAGGGCATTTAAGTGAGCGAGACGTGAATTTAAATTGTATTTATTTACAGAGGTATATTATGTCCCATAATATATGGGACATAATCACGCTTCTCTAGTAAGTTTCGTTTGTGAGTGAAGATGCTGCAGGCAATGAATATTCCGAAGTGAAGTAAACTTCAACGGATCTCCCCTGCTCAGGGAGTAGGGAGCAGTGGAGACTGTGTAGGGAGCATGCCAATCGGAACACAGTTCATGCACGGAGCTCACTTCTAACGAGGTGATGATCTGAATCAGGTGTGTTAACAAAGAGAGACGTGCAAAACATGCAGAGCGGGGGTACACGGGGACTGGGATTGAGAACCGCTGGTCTAGAACAATTCTTACAAATATAACACGATGTAACATTAACGCGGACAGATGCTGGCCGCCGCTGTGCCTACACTCATAGAAAATAATGTATTTGAATTTTAAAGACGTGGCGCGACGCTGCGCTTCTCGTCCGGTGCGCGACCACCTGAAACGCTGTTTTTTTCAGCTCCGTGTCCAAACGTCTTTGTTTGGGCTTCCGAAAGCGGATGATGTCAGGAAATAGTGGTTGCAATTTACTTTTTAACTCTGTCCCTGAGCATTATAACCCCAATTTGCTATTGTGTGCTGCGCATTTTACTGAGGACAGCTTTCACAACACGAGGAGTGCAGTGCCTGCCGGATTCGCCTAAAGCTTTTGTTGAAAGACGGAGCAAGGGGCATGGCAGTACTGAAACACCGTCTAAGCTGTTTGCCAATCACAACGCACTGGGACAGCTAACCAATCACAACACATTTTGTTTATCGGAAGGCGGACCTTCATCAAAGGTCCTCATCAAACTAATCAAGCAGTTTGTGCCAGGATGGGGAGAAAGGCATTGTAATAATAGGCCCTTTCGCACCGCTTTAGTTCCAGAACTAAACGTACGGTACTAAAGTACTGGGACGATTTTGCGCAAACTATTTCCCAGTACCATTTAAAGGGTTGCATTCGCACCGAGAGTGTGTACTAAGAAGTGACGTAAGCCGGTCGACAGCGTCGTCATTTGTGCGCGGCGTTCAACAACGGAAACAAAGAACTACGTTAACAACAGGAGGATGGAGGACGCTGTGATCGGAGCTGTGTGTTTGTTGTGTCTCGCGGGTTTCACAATAATGGACATGGAAAGTCGACGTATACGTAAAGCGATTGAAAGAACGGAAAGGAGGACTAAGAATCTCCAACGACAACTGGCAGTGCTACATTTGCTACGAGTGCCTGCACGTCAGCGTCCGTCCATCTATCGCTGTTCTCCAGACTTGCAAAATAAGTTGACACAATGTTTACAGTATGTTTACACGGAGTTTTAAATCATGGCGGGGGAGGGGGTTTTCATACGCGTTTGGCCAATCAATGTCTACTTACATCACGATTAGTACCAGTTGTGCTGGTTAGACCCTGCTCCGGAGTAGGAGCTAATTTGGTTCTCGAAAAAGGCAGTCCGGTACTAAAATCGCTCCCAGTTCCGGCGGTGCGAACACGCCGAAAAGTGGGTAGTTCCACAATTAGTTCTGGTACTATGAAAAGGTTCCTGCGGTGTGAAAGGCCCTAATGTAAATTATGTGAAAAATAATGCGTTTCACCAAGCATGAGAGCATGTTCTAGTACACCCCCAAAACAAAATCAAGACTTTGTAAAAGAGCATAATAGGACCCCTTTAAAAAAATTTTTTTTGTTTTAATTTATTTAAGTTTTTTAAATGTAATTTTATTTCAATGTTTTAATTTGAGTACTTTTAGTAATTTAACTGAAACACGTTTTATTTCAGGTAGTGTTCAGGGCAACAAGTTTTTAATTTAATATTTATATTTTATTTTATTTCAGCTTCATTTCAGTAATCGTAAAATCTATTTTTAACATTTTAGTTGCAGTTAACAATGACGTCACTGAAACAAACCCAAATGTAAATAATAGTTTTTCACTGGGCCTTTAAATGCTGAAGCTCCACTTGTGCTTTTGTAAGGATCAGTTTTCATAAACAGCAGTTGATTATGACAGATATAAAGTCATATGGCATCACAATCTCATAATTAATAATCGTCTCTGAATGTCTCGTATAACGTGGTTCATCAGCTGATAAATGAAAGCGCGTTTGGTTTTGAATGATGTTTCTCTGAGCGTCTGACCTTCACTCTTTCACCTGCTCATCCATCTCTCCTCGTCTGTTATTCATCACTCTTCGAGTCGTTCCCTCCGTCTCTCTTCCCTCGTTCGTTCTTAAACTCCTGTTTACACGTGAAGTCACTTCATTTCCAGCGAAGTGCATGCAGATCATGAATCCTCCAGTATCAGATCGGTTGAGTTCAGATCTTTAAATGAAGGTCACGACTAATTAAATTCACATGAACTTTCATTAAGTCACCTTCGCTAATTACTCTGATTTCTGAATTTGTTTTTTCTCTGTTATGAATCTGATGGACGTTTCTCATTCAGGCTGATGTGTGTCTTTTCTCACGCTTCGTTCTCAAACTTATACATGCAATCACATTATTTCCAATTAAATGCATCACACGTCTGTGTTTTTATGTGCACAGTATTATTTATATCATACTTTTTATTAAAAATTTTCATTTTAGTTTAATTTCCAGCTTTTTAGGTTTCACTTTTATTTTAGGTTTTATTTATTTACCTTTATTTTAAAATGGATTTAGTTTTAAGTCAGTTTTAGTATTTATTTATTTCAGCAGTGTGATCCAGTTAAATACATCGCATGCGTTTGTGTGTGTGTGTGTGTGTGTGTGTGCTCATTAGTTTTATTTTATTATTAGTTATGTCATATTGTAGTTTTTATTTAATTTTAAATTATATGTTAATTTTGTTTCTATATTTTCAGTTCTCCTTTTAATTGTAGTTGAATTTTTTGTAATTTTATTTTAGGTTAAATAATTTAATACATTTTTTATTTGAATTTTAGGTTTTATTTATTCATTTAATTTTATATATATATATATATTACTTTTTTTATTTTTTAATTTATAAAATTTTTATAAAAATCGTATTTTTTTTTATAATATGTATAATAAATCAATACTAAAAGTGAACTAAACAAAAAGATGTGTGTGTGTGTGTGTATATATATATATATATATATATATATATATATATATATATATTTACATTTAGTAGTCATTTAGCAGACTATTTTATCCAAAGCGGCTTACAAATGATGACAATGGAATATATATATATATATTGTACTAAAATACTAAATTAATCCAGTTAGTAATTTTAGTGCTTGAACTTAATCTTATTTCAGTTAGTTGCTCAGGCAACATTTCTAACTTCCTTCTAAGATTTCTATTTCATTTCATCTCCCCTTCCGCTGGTTCTCTCTCAGTTTTTCTGCGTTCTGGGGCTGATGGCCGGTTCTCATTCAGGCTGATGTGTTTCGTGTCTCTCTGACCTTTCCTCGCGCGTTTCTCTAAGTGCTGCGTCTGGAAAATGCTCCTCGCTGCCCTTGAACCGCAGCCACACACACTCACACACACACACACACACACACACACACACACTCACACACACACGCATGCACACACACACGCATGCACACACACACGCATGCACGCACACACACTCACTTACACACACACACACACACACACTGTGTCAACTGCTTTATTGGATATTCAGGATAAGTTTGGAAATCCTCCATTGACTTTTCACATAGGGCAGAATTGACGTCATATTAAATATTTACATACTGAATTACTGCCGGTCTTCAGAGCTGGATCTATATCTACAGTAAACATTCATTTTGGAGTGAGCTATATTTGGTTTTAAGAGAGAAGTCGTGTCCTCAGCCGTTACTGAAATAACTCACTCTGTTGCGGTTGTGTTTTATTCTCAGGGTGGACGCGAGGCTCCTATGAAGGACACCAAACCCGTGAACTCCAGACGCTACACCGCCACCTTTGACATCGTCAACACCACCAAAAGAGACTCGGGACGCTACCGCTGCATCGTCCGCTCCGAGAAAGGAGTCGGAGTGTCCAGTTATGGAGTTCTGGTGGTCAAACGTGAGTCCACTCGCATTAACAGTGCATTAACAGAACAAATGATGGAGAACGTGTGTAATGTCCAGGTTACATTCAGACTATTGTCTTTATGCACCACATTTTTTTTTCACATTGACAGACCATAATATCAAATATCGACCAGTTCCTCAATTCATTAGTGTGTGGAAATCAAGCAACATATGTACAGTGTATATATATATATATATATATTAGTGCTGTCAAACAATTAATCGCGATTAATCGCATCCAAAATAAAAGTAATATGTGTGTGTTCTGTGTTACAACCCTCTACATTGTGAGTAAATCATTCGCATATGCGACTAAATCTTCACTCTGGGTGACTAAATGATGTCTAATATTAGCCACTGGCTAATTAATTCTCAGATTTTACTCGCCAGCGTGGGAGTTGGGGGCTAAGTATAAGTTTAGCTCAGATATATTTTCACTCACAGAACTCTCTGACTGAGCGCTTCAGAGTTTCACTCTCCATCAAGCGATCTGTGCTGTTTTTCAGTTCATCTGAATGGATGCACAACGCACCTGTATTTAACATACCGTAAACTCTAGTGTGAAGCGCACGACTCGCCGTCGCTTTGTTTCACACACACACGCAGCGAGAGAGAGAATTGACGCGCTACCTATGCGCGCTACATGTAAACGATATTCTTTGTTGTATTTTGCTGTCAAATTAACGGAGTTCCTTTGGAATTCTTCAGCTTTTAAGAACTTTTAAGTTCAACATGCATATCATTTCTTCTAATTTTTACATTTGTGAAAAAAAGGAAATAAAGTTGCATGAGTTCAGAATTTTCTGTTTAATTTCAGTAAAAGCTCTATTTGCACTGTAAAAGTTGTTTTAATGGGTGAATTAGGAAAATCAAGCAGCCTAAAATATCTTTCTTACTGTAGATGCAAAAGAAGATGATCTTATTAGGCAGCGTTAATATGAACAGTCACTTCACTAGTTTTGGATCAGAGCCAGTGTGTGTGTGTGTGTGTGTGAGAGATATATCAGTTGTGTCATAACGAGTGTTGGGATTTCCTTTCTTGCGTGTGTTTTCCGTGTGTGTGTGTATGAGTGTGTACAGGTTTATATATCTTGGTGAGGACTTAAACCTGAATACACACAGACTCATGGGGACTCATGACATGGTGGAGACCTAAATTGAGGTCTCCACGGGTACAAAAACATACAGAATGATTTTTTTTGAGAAAGTAAAAATGCAGAAAGTTTCCTGTGAGGGGTAGGTTTAGGGGCAGGGTCAGTGTAGAGTGATAGAAAATACGGTTTGTACAGTATAAAAACCATTACGCCTATGGAGAGTCCCTACAAAGATAGCTGACCTGTGTGTGTGTGTGTGTTGATGAAAGCAGCCAAGGGCTGCGACGGGCATCACAATGCTCTGCTTCCTCCAGGAGAAAGACGCCTGCAGGTTAACAAGACTGACCCACGTCCTGTGACAGCACAATGAGAGTCATAAATCATTTACAGCATGCTTCCTTTCTCTGTCCACTCACTCTCTCGCTCACTCACTCACTCACTCACTCACTCACTCACTCACTCACTCACTCACTCACTCACTCACTCACTCACTCACTCACTCACTCACTCACTCACTCACTCACTCACTCACTCACTCACTCACTCACTCACTCACTCACTCACTCACTCACTCACTCACTCACTCACTCACTCACTCACTCACTCACTCACTCACTCACTCACTCACTCACTCACTCACTCACTCACTCACTCTCTCTCTCACTCTCTCTCTCACTCTCTCTCACACACACACACACACACACACACACACACACACACACGAGATGCCAGTCTGCTGCAGGTGCCAGAATGAACTCCTGCCAATGAATTTACCACCGAAAATACACCTTACTGACCACAAATATGCTTTTTTCCTCAGTAGTATATTACAGATATTTTATTTTTATTTATAAATATAAATGTATTTATTAATATTTTAATAAATTAAAATGTCAACAATTCTGTGTTTTCTGTCAATATGGGGTGCTGTGTGTACATTAATGAGGAAAAAAAATTAACTTAAATGATTTTAGCAAATGGCTGCAATATAACAAAGAGTGAAAAATGTAAGGGGGTCTGAATACTTTCCGTACCCACTGTATATATATATATATATATATATAAATATATATAAATATATGAGGGCTGTCATCGTTAACGCATGCGATTAATTTTACAATCCTTAACGCGTTAAAATAATTTAACGCAATTAACGCAAAATTACTAAACCACAATTTCTATTCTAACCCTTTAACCCAATTTTGCTTCTCCGCTTGCGATCAGATCATTTAAAGCCGCTAAACTCTGGGAAAGTTTTCAGTCGAATGATCCTGTAAGCGAATGCATTCAAACAATCAGTCCAAAACAGCGCTAATATAAAGGAGATTGCAGAGAGAACAGAGACTCGCGTTGCGTTTTAAGTGAATTATTCATTCCAGTGTGTTTGGCTTTTTAACACGAGCTCTGTCATATTCTGTGATTGTGTCTGAAGAGTGTGAGCTCTCACACGTAACGCTGTGTGGAGTACAGACTGAACGGATTGTCAACATCCCACAGCTGTATGGCCAGATGAGACGCAAACTACGTTTCTCGACTGGATAACCAGTCTCGCTAGTAAAGTTTTGATGGATGAAGACTGCAATCAAGGTAAAGACGATTGCGGGGGCATACAGGAGTCGTACAGTAAGCACGCGTGAGTCCGTTATAATAATGCGTGTATGAGTGCTCTTGACGCACTGATCGCACATTGTATTTACGCACAGGCACAGACATTTCCATACATTCACGTTGTTTCCACACACATTCACGATAATGTTTGATCGCGCATTGTATTTACGCACAGGCACAGACATTTCCATACATTCACGTTGTTTCCACACACATTCACGATAATGTTTTGATTTGTCATGTTTATGTTGCTGTGTTTAGTTATTCTGAATGGATAGTAGATATATGCAGTCAGCAGGCGGTTGTTGTTGTTTTTTTGGCATCTCCATGTGGTCCTGTTTGGTATCCCAACTTGGCTTCTCTAAAATGTAAAAAAGCTCTTTGCTGTTGCACTGTACACATACTATAAAATTCTGATTTTTTTTT